AAACCACATCAGTGTGTCTGAGCCAAAATATTCTGATTCATCCACACATGGCTGCTTTCTTGCTAAAAGATACTGCAGTGTAAATTTATAACTGTGTATCGCCTCTTTAGCTGGTGAGTCTTAATAGAAGGCAAGTAAACACCTATAAGAGGTATCACTGTGACCCACGGAAAGCAGCAGCTTCCCCATGTTACTGTTTTCGATTTGCTTTTACCATATGTTGGAAAATAGAATAGTTCTCTTCTTCTTAAATCTATAGAAAGATGAGGACAAAAGAAAAAATTTGTCTAATTAAATCTTAAACAAAAATTTTCACACAGGACAAAGATCAAAAGTCATTTCTAGAAAGTGCTTAAGATATCACGATTTAAGGCAGTTCAGTGTTTAGCAACTTTGTGTTTCTAATTCAGTGAAATTTTGAGACACAGCTGGCTTTGAATGTGACTGCACTGGTAGTAGTCATTGGTGTGACCCATTTACATTTATTCTGCACGTCCTAATAATCATTACCTCAAGGTCATGGAGAATATCTCTAGCTTCTATATCCAGGGTTGCTTCCCCATTGAAGGACCAGCGTAAGGACTTCCAGATGAAAGAATTCCACCAACAGTCAGAGATGTTACTATTTCAGATCTAGAAAACTTTCTGGGGGGGAAAGGTAAGAAATCTCCCCAAGAGTGGGTCTAGGGAGGGAAGAGAGTGTGCCAACACTGTTTTATTTCCATTTAGTTCTGAGAGGCCCAGGAAAGAAACCTGGAATTTTTAAGCACCCAAATCATTTTAGAGCCCACCATTTTATGTTTTTCTTATTTTAGGTGATAACTTTAGAGTCAAGAATTCATAGTATTTTCAGATGTTCCCATGTACCAAAGTATGGCTACTACCTGCTTCATTGATTTCATTGTCTATTATCCTCCTGTAGTCTTATTTCAGTTTCTTCATCACTTGCAGTATATTCCTACCCCCTGGTTCTTTATCCCGTTTTCTCTACCTGGAATGCAGTCAGCTGGTTACAATCTCATCTCAAGAAACAATTCTTAGTGACTTTCTGGGTATTCTGTAAGCTTGCTTTATTTTCTTCACAGGTTTTACACTAGCTAATATATTCTTATTTCCATATGTCTTTGACTGAATTGTTCTTAATTCTTGACTCTCTCCCAGAGAAAGGCATGCTGCTATGGTTTTGATCCGGTTTGAAGTGTCATCCAATGGTTCACATGCTAGAGTCTTATTTCCCAGTGTGGCAGTGTTGAGAGCCAGAGAAACCTTTAATAGGTTAAGGCCTAGTGGAAGTAATTAGGTCACTGGGGTCATCATCATTTTCAGAAGAAATGAATGTAGCTTTTGTAGGACCCCATTTTTTTTCTTGCTATGAGTGAGTGAAAAATCCTCCTTTGATCCATTCATATGGGATCTGATTGTGAATTGTACTGGTTAATGAAATGCTGGTAAACATGACAAAAGCAGAGACTTAGATTTGCTGTGTGATCTGGTGTCTCTGGTCCAAGGAGACTGAAGAGATGAGAGGAACAGACAAGTTCTCAAAACTGACAGGTTAATTCCCAGGTAAGTTGAATCTTGCTATGATCAGTCACTGTTTAGCTGCCTCACAAAAGTGTTAGTGTGACAAATGAATATTGAGTACTACTATTCAGAGATTTTAGAGTTGTTTGTTTCACAGCACTATTATAGGCTAAATGCTGACTGATACAATTTATGTTCATTTATTGTATGCCACTTCATGGGAATACTGCAAAGTGCCATGGAAAAGGAATGTATTTTCTCTTGTTCATCTATATGTTGTAGTGGACAGAAAAATTCTAGGCACATGGTCACTGCATAATAAATGAATGAAAAATACAATATATAGTAAAAAACTTGCAATTTAATGTAATCTGTTAGAACTCTATTTGGGTATATCATTTACTGAAAACTTAAATTTAGAGGGTAAAGAAAAATGGCATACCTATAAGAAAAGAGCTGTCTGGAGTTCCTTACATGAAAATATTAAAGATCACCCAAAGCAATGTGGTTTAGAGGCAGCTGAAGTGACTTATGCAGTTATTTTGGCTGAGAAAAGTGCATTATTATTGAAATATTATTGTTCTGGTCAGCTTTCTACTTACAGACTCAGCACAGAGTGGGCTTTCAGCACATGTGTGTTGAAATGAATTGACTTTCAGAGCTCACGGAAGCTTTTATACCCTACTTGGCCTTTAGTCATGAAAGATATTAAAATCACATCAGCAAATAACACAAGCCTGTGCATAATTCTTCACTATGCTGAAAACTCTGACTTGTCATGCCTTTATTGTCCCTCTGAGGTCAACCTTGGAAAACATGAGGAACTGTGGTCTCTTGCCACAAATGAAAAGGCAGGAACTCTACATATATTCTCAGCAGAACTCATTTTTCAGCCTTTTGTATTCTCTATGTCAACCCATTTTACTTCCCTGGTCTTCAAGCAAGTCTTTCCCTTAACTCAAATATCTCACCTGCAATTTAAGGCAGTGTTCCACCAAACAGTTTATTTTCCATCTACTGTTATTCATCCTAATGCCATGCTAAATGTCCTAATTGCTATGCTAAATTCTTGAAATATAAAATTTAAGGAGGACAAAGTTCTTTCCAGGGAGGTATCTACTAGAAAAGACATAATCTGAACATATCTCAAGTAATTGCTACAATTGAAGGACACATCACCAAAACAGAAAACCAGGACATCTAAATGATATCGAAGAATCAACAAAAATGGAATTTGAAGTAGGAAATAAAGAAGGATGAAAAGAGATGGGAGATAACCCTTAATGTGTTTTTGTTTCTGCTCATAGGACCCCACTATAAGAAAAACAATCTGTGTATCTCTGAACGAAAGTTACATGGCTGACCACATAGTAATTCTAGTACTAATGAAGGAACAGGAAAAGTTTGCAGAGTCCCAAAGACTCCTCTTTGGAGTATGATAAGCATATCTTATTACAAGCTCAAGGAAATTAAAGAAATGTCAAGGAAACAAAACAGCAGTGATTCAGGAAAGAGAGAAAAGCAGAATCTTTTAATTCCAGCAGCTTTTCCATTTGTTGCAAAATAAATGCTGTGTTTTTCTTTTTGAAAGACACTTGAAGTCAATGAAGAGAATCTATAAAGCAAGTGAAGAAAGTCTGGAAAGGAAAGGAGATAAAAAAGAAAGAAAGGAAGAGAAAGAGAGAGAGAGAAAGAAAGAAAGAAAGAAAGAGGGAGAGAGAAAGAGAGAGAAAGAAAGAAAGGAAAGAAAGAAAGAAGAAAGAAAGAGGGAGGGAGGAAGGGAGGGAGGGGAGGGAAAGAAAGAAAGAAAGAAAAGAAAGAAGGAAGGAGGGAAAGAATGAAAGAGAGAAAGAAAGAAAGAACCAATTATCTAATAAATGAAAAATAACAGGGTGGAATATGTCCTGCCAGAGCAAGGGTGTGAGAGGACAAAGGACATCAAAGTCTAAAGCACTTTTAGAAATTTAAAAAAAAATTGTTGGTTGATTAGACCAGATAAGATACCCTGAAGCCAAGGGTTCAAGATTTCTGTGGTCAATTTAAAAATCTTCTAACTTAATAGAAGGTATTTTTTAAATAGCTGTAAAATCACTGGTTAATTAAATTTGTTAAAGAAATGTATGTACCAGTGCGTGTTTGTTATTTCTGCCTGCTACATTTTAAACATTCATATATGTGGGAAGTGAATTGTGATACTAACCTATCAAGTTAGTTTTTAATGACAGTTTTTGGCATTTTTCTCTTGATTATTCCACTTAAAAATAGTAACACCTTTACTGTCCTTGGGAACTATGTAGATGTGGCATTCAAATAGCACATCTCATTCTAATATTTCTTGAAAAGAATGTATTTCTTGTGTATCTGTATGTCTATTTTAAAGGAGATCATTTTACTCGGAGATTATGTAATCTTTTAGACAACTGTCCTTGTAAGGGACACATGCATATGGACTCTGGCACATATCAGTTTAAAGTAGGACAGAAATCATAAAACAATCATAGGTAATTCCTTCCCAACAGCAAATTCTAATATACAAACCATAAATAATCTTGTTTTTTTCTGACAAAAATCAATGGCAAATAAAAGAAAGGTACAAATAGAAGCTATGGTTTTTAATATTTTGATAATTGTTCTTTGTTTTTAATATTTTAATAATTGGTATTGTTTCATAATTATTGTTTTCCATTGTCTTCCTTTCATCATTTTACCAACAGTGCAAAGAAATAAAATGTAATCCACAATAAATTAGGAGAGGGAAGTACCTTCAAAAGAATACACCTAGTCAAAGATAGCTTACGTTGTCTTATACATGCTTGTATTTGATCTTCATATCTAATTTGGTAAGGTAGGGAAAAGCAGTAGCCCAATGGAGCGAATAAGAAGATGATCCTTTAGTCATGAATGCCTGGATTAGAATCCCATTTAGCTGTGTGCTGTAGGACAAGTTTGTTAATGACTCTGAGGCTCCGTTTTTATTATTTGTTTTAGAGGCATAACAACCTACCTCATAGGTTCGTGGTGGGGTTAAGTGAGGGAAAATTAAAGCCTTGGTACAGAAACTAAATAAAAAGTCTATAAATAGCAACCAGGATTAGTATTCCAAAGGTGTTACTATTTTTTTTCCACTTGACCCATAAGAATACTGAAATAGAGAGAAGCTAACAGACATAGGTGTGAAGAAGCATGCCAATCTATGTGGCCAGCCATGAAATTTCTAGCTTTAAACATTCAGAGGCAAACTGTCCATGCTTAGCTTATAACAAGAAAATTTAAATTTAAAACTCCATTAGACAAATATACATTGATGTCATTATAAGTAAATTATCAAATGCCTTTTTAACAAATACACCAATCTAGCTATAGTCTTCCCAAAATATAGTCATAGTTTAAGCATTTGCAGAGCCCAGAAAAGTTAGGTCAGTCTCAATCTACAGAGAGTCCATCCCACCCCCAGTTCCTTGCTAGCCAACTCTTACCTTAATGACAAATTAAATGCCTATAGAGTTCAACAATTTTCACTCCTTTAATAACTGGAGGAAGACCTCTTAGCCTTTCAGTGTTGAAGATTCAGTTATTTCCCTTTGCACAGGTTTCATACAGTTTTTGTTCAACCTTCTCTCTATTGTATGCAATGCAAATTTTAAAAAATAAGTGAGAATTAGAGTGAAAATGTAGACATTGAGTCATGAACATAAATTATAACTAAAATTAGTTCTATATACAGTGGTGCCTCAGTTTACAAACTTAATTTTTTTACAATTTTGGGAAAGATGGTTGGGTGTGTGTTTGTGTGGGGAAGATGACCGTGGCCATGTCTGTCACCTGATTAGAGTTTGTAAACAGAAGCCAAATTCTGCAAAATGCTTTTGTTTGCAAATTGAATTGTTTGCAAACGGAAACATTCATGAACCGAGGGATTATTTTATCATGCTATTGAATTTCACTGTTTTTCTCGATAACAAATACAAACTTAGTAAAAGCCAAAATAACCAAATCAAAGAATTACACTTGAAATTTCTTGTGGACTCAAGAGATCCAATGCTAAGACACTTCTACAGAGGTTCAAGTTCTTCACACACACACACACACACACACAGACACACACACACACATACAAACACACAAAGTTTGAGCATGGGACAAGAAACAAAATACACATTATAAATTTTACAAAAGTTGCTTAAAACCCCTTCCACTGTTCCTTTGGTCCTCCATTAATTTCACAGTTCTAATTCAGGTAAAAGTTGATACTATCTTAACCAGATATAGGACATATGATCAAAAGCATGGTGAATATTTAAATTTTAAAACTTTATTATAGTAAAAGACATATCACCATCAATCCTCATCAAAATTATCCTCTTTACTTTGAATACATTTATCCAATCATTCTCTTCCCACTTTCGGAAGCAGTTCTAGAAGTCTTCTTTTTAAGAATGTTTTCAGTTTTGGTATCATGGCTGCCTCAAAATCTTGAATCAATGCAAAATTTATCTTTCCCGGTCATTTTGACTTTGGGGAACATCCAGACTTCACATGGTGCCAGATATGGAAAATAAGGTGGATGAGAACACACCATAACGTTTTAAGGGCCTGCCTTTCCATTGAATGACACTAAACAACAGCATTCACTACATTTTTAAACACAACTTCTGAAGATGCTCATGAAAGAAGGCTTCCAGCACTGCTTCAGAAAGTGGCAAGAAATAGGAGATAAATGTGTTCAAAGTGTGGGGATATATTTTCAGAGGGATTAATGACAATGTGTATTTTGCTGTAATAAGTTCTAAATTTAAACCTTCACTCTGTATTTTGATCACCCCTTATATAACGGAAGTTGGCCATGTTAGAAAAATTCAGTAATGCTACCCAGATAGGAAGACAGAGGCACACAATTTATATTCTGTATCCTGATCTTACTGTCCTTTTGACAGAGGCAAAATCCAGGAATTTTTTTTTAATGGTCCTCAAAGAGAAGACTTAGGAGGGTTTATCTGACCCTAGTAAGCCTTGCATGGGTCCCCAGTGAAAAGGGCAACAAGTATCCTTAGCTAACATTCTGGGAGGACTTTCCAAAACTGGGACTGGTTACATATGTAGCAGAGACACAAAATACATCAGCTAAAACAAATGGGTCCAAGGCATCAGGGATTATCTGAGAGGTACTGAAGCAACAATTGAGAGCAAGTCCCAAGTCAGACCTCCTTTTAATGCCTATGGGGTAAAGAACAGAAAGGCAGTGGACAACCCTTGCTACAGAAAACCCCAGGGCCAGAGACAGCCGTGGATCCAACCATCCCTTTCATCTCCCACAAAGACAGAGCAAGGAAGATGGCTTAGGGTCTGGCACGTAGTTATGTCCATGCAAATGTGCCCTCCAACATAAGCCACAGGTCCCAGTGCAGGCCAACGGTCTGGAGGAAGGGAGTTTTTTTGGCATTTGTTCATCATAGAAGGGTGACCTTGTTTAGTTTCTTTTAACCATTGTGAATTTAAGTCTGTGTCAGCTATAGCCTTCTTTCTCAGAAAGACAGTGGGGCATCATTTGAGGAAGAATAAAGTGGGGTTAGGAGAGTAATCTGAAGGAAAGTATTTTCTTAAAGAGACCAAGTCTTTGAAAGATGCTTTAGAAACCCTCATAACTTTGAATAGACTGAAGTGAAAAGAGACTTACAGACTACAAGAGACTAAAATGTTGCTAAAAACTTATTAGGTGTTTTTCTCACTCACTGAAGTGACAGTACATGGCCAGATTAGAGTTTTACAGGGAAGCACTTATTTTCTACATATCTGAGTGAAGGGTGAAGAAATATATAACTTCAGTGTGTGTGTGTGTGTGTGTGTGTGTAAGACTATAGGATTGCACTCAACACATACCTATGTTTTTTTCTGCATAGTGAGATTATGGATGTTTATATTTTTCACACCTTCAGTTTGTCTGTAGTGAGCATTATTAGATTTTAACATCAAAGATAGATAAATGCTACATTTAAATAATTTGCTTATATCTTCCTGTTGTATTTGTCTATAGCCCAGTTGTTTTAAAGCATATGTGAAGTACTTGATCAGTCCTTTTCAAGTTCAACTATAAAACATACATGTATTTTATAAAATAGATATGTATTTTAAGTAAAAAATCATTGCTACTCTGCTGTTTTAATCCCTTTATTTCAAAGATTATGTTTTGTCTCCTGTTTTCTCTCAAAATTCTAAAATGGCCTTTAGCCACATGCAACAAAGTTTTGCCCTACTTGATCTAAAGAATGAGGCATGTATATAAAGCACTCTGAAAATGTTTAAGGATTTTAAAGATGCTTGGTGATATCGATGGTGGGATGAGGAAAGGGTACGGGGACAGAGAGAGGAAACAGAAAGAGGAGGACCTATGTTATTTCTTCTCATATCATACATTTCAAAGGTCCTTCCTAAATAAATTCACAAATAAGTAAATGGGATCCTTATGTGAGACTGCTGAGTGCTCACAATTTTATAAATTTAATCCCATCCTTAGGCAACATGGTGAGCAACTTCAGGTTGACGTTGTTCTCTGTCATGTATTGCTGTTAAGATCAGTGAGTCTCCTTCAATAGAACCAAAATTACCTCAGGGCTTTGGTTTTTTTACAGGCCACCTCCTGTACTTATATTGTTAAGATCTGTCCAAGAAGTTGGTCCTATATGGGAAAATCCATTTAAACTTGCAATGTCTGGCATTTGCTTGGGTTTATTTGTGTGTGTGTGTGTTTATAGAGGGAGAAGAAATAATGACCGTAATAGGAGAAATACTAAGACTTCTCTTCAAGTTTAGATTTCCTTATTAATCACTATCTTTCCCCAGGACACATTGGCAAAGAGTTCATCTTCACTTTGTAGTCTTCCCAGTCAGTATATGGCACATCGAAAGAAATATGCTAAATGGATAAAATTATATGCTATGCAATCAGAGAGCCTAAGTTCTAATCTTATCTCTACTGCTAACAAGTTGTATGATCTTAGTCATATGATCTTGCCTTAAATTCCTCATGATACAATATAATAATAGGATCTATATCATAGAGTTCTTGAGAGACTTAAATGAGTTAATATATGTGAAATGGGTACAACAGCATTTGGTACTAAGTGTTCCATAAATGCTAATTATTATTATTGTGAAGAAGGGAATCTGCAATGTATCCAGACTACCACAAGCCATGGGGGTCATGCCCTTCCCTCCCAAAGAAAATGACACTAAGAGGGTCTGGTGCTTTGAGAAAGAAATACTTCTCATGGCTCTTCCCAGCTCAAGTGCACACGCTGCTTACCTGTCTGTGCATGATCAGGGTATATTAGGGCTTCTGGATTCACTCCGGCAGCAATAGGGTCAGATTTGCATTGTGTTATCCATGTTTTCTGGCCCAGTCAGCTCTGGGATAACTCCATATTCCTGGTTGTGGTTATATAACAGACCCATCTGGAGCAAGATTCAATGTCCTCCCCTGATGCATTATAGAAAATAAGCAAAAGAAATTTATTAACACAGAAAACAATATTAAATTTGTGGATTCACTATTTTCATGCCAGCTTTTTTGAATACTGCTATCCTCAATCAGACATTAAAATTACTGCAATTGGACCACAAAGGAAAGCTAGGACATGTGAAGCAAGAAAGTGTATTCCTACCTGGAGACTTCTTCTCTTTCCCTTCTTTTCTCAACCAAAGGAGATATCATTAGCAGGGAGGAAGGATTAAAGGAATCCCCAAATATGAGCTATCATTTCTTAAACATGAGAGGTGCCTTTACCTTATTCTGGAAGAACATCTTTTTAATGATTCTTAGCTTTTATGAAGTTCAGCCAGATCCTTAGCATTCTTAGGTAAATGAATATTCAGTAAAATTTTTAACAAACATGAAAATTTTCTGCAATGGCTTTAAAAATTAATTAGATGGTGCAATATCATACCTCTCACCTCTGGTTGGAGCAGGCATCTGTCTCAACATACACTGGAAAATGCTGGAAAGAGTCTTAAGTCACCCCTGTTCCATTTTAATTCACTCACCAAGCAAGTAGTTGCACATTTTATTTTTTGCTGTCTATTCTCCTCTTCTCATTTCTTCCATTCCCTTTCTCACTTCCTACACATCAACTATATATATATATATTTTTTTTTAATAGGCCCTCATAAATGAGAGACATCTAAGATTGGTTTTGAGCAGAAAGGGTTGGCTGGATTTTTCAGAGTACAGCTCAATGCTCTGTTACACATGTTTCCTCCTGTTCCAGATTCTGCTTTTCATCCTCCATCCATCCTGCGAAGGAGAACAGAGGCTAATTTAGGAGCCTCTTTATGCCTGTACATATTCAGCCAGAGGGGTCACTACTGATTGATGCAAGACACTCTGTCCTCCAAGAGCTTGCCAAGTCCCTGCTGGTCCAGAGAGCAGCAACCAACAGTAACTCACCCTTTAGTGCCTGTGTATTTCTGTGCCTCCAGCTAGAAACAGTCGATAAACACCAGAGGCAGCTCCTGTTGCCTTAGATCACTAATAAATCCCTCACACCACCACCCCAGAGCCTTTTGACAAAAAACTATTTCTCTGCAGAGAGATGCCAAACCCTAGCAGCCAATTACTACAGAGGTGCCTCAGAGGCTTGAAGGAGGAGGCAGGGAGAGAGAAGGGGCTCTCTCCAAAGACAAGAAATATATGCTTTCTTCTAATAAAAAATGTTTTATTTTATTGCCTACTTCCTCTGAGCCAGACTTTGGGATGAAGCTTAGCCTCCTTTATCTGATTTATTCCCCGCAGCTCTGGCCCATTTTACAGATGAGAACACAAAGGCTCATTGAGTCTACGTAACTCCTACTTCCTGTTTCTCCGTTGTCCATTTACTGTCCCTTGCAGATACAAACATTTGTTGGATGGGTGTTGCAAAAGCAGCTGGAAGGTGTCCCCAGATTCTCCCTAGACAGTTCAGTTGATTTCTGGGACTCTGAACAGTCTTACTTGGATTACTTGGATATCCAATGTTTCAGTTACTCCAAGGGTTGCTAAAAATGTGTTCCATTGTATCTGCCCATCACCTAGATGTTTTCAACACTTTTAGGGCCTTCTACTTCAGATACGTGGACATTACCTATGCTGGCAAGTTCTTGCTGCTACCCAAGGTGTTGTGTGTTCACTGTGGATATGGCACTCTGATAGGTTCTGTATAAGTTTAAGGTAGTTGAATGTTACTTAAAAAATAGATGGCAGGGTCATAGTCTTCCACAATTATTTTCCATCATGCAACATTCCACAAAGAGCCAACTTTTGTTATACAATAGGGACAGACACACATGCCTGGGATATGTGTTTTATCTTTTGTTTTTATTCTTTCTGGTCTACCTCAATTTCTAGTCTCTTTACATACTGCTTAAACAGACATATTTTGTAAGATGAAGTACTCCATTGATAAAACGTCCATTTGGCTACTAACTACAGGCAAGCTAATGTCTCTATATCCTGGGAAAAAAAACATATTGCAGGACACTGTTTATGGTCTGAAGGATAAGAGCCCTTGGCATTCCTCTTCATAGGCTTCTGTTTTGTAAGCACTGAGCTACAGTCTAGCGTCAACTTGTACCTTTTCCTCAACCCTCCTTGGAATCTCATAACACATGAATATTAAATACCCAAGATACTTGCTTATCTGTAATGTCTGCAGCCAGGGGACCCTGTGATTGCTGTCTTACACTGCCTCCAACTTAGCTGTTCTTCACCCTGTCTGCAAGTGTGGGGCAGACATGAACTACCTACCTCCCCACCAAAAAGCAATGGAAGAACCTCTGGCTGTGATGGATCCAGGTTTGAATGTTGAGAAAAGAGACAACCACTTTTTTTCTGCTGCAGATAAAAATTGTCTTAATACCTTGAAGATAATAACAATAATAATGATAATAACACCTTCCATTTAGTGTTTCCATCTTCCACTATAGTGCTTCCCTTTTTCCTCAAGAATTCTCACATAGGGCTTTCACTGGCTCTGCACATCAAGCTTCACATCAGTCTAAACATTTTGATATTTTCTCAATAATAACACATTTCTATATTTCATTCAATTACCACAATCTGAAAATGAAATGTTATTATCCCAATTGATCTATGAAGAAACTGAGGGCTTGAGACAGTGATTTTCTCAGGTTATAAGGCACGAATTCAAATCCAGGTGATTTGCGAAGTCCAGTGCTTATTATTCCTGAGTAATCCTCACTTGGTACAAGGAAACTGGAGCTTTCCTCTGGACAATTACAGAAAAAAATAGGTCATAGGTGCCTAACAAGCCCCATGGCCCACCTAATGGACAAAAGTCACTGTATTTGTACATGGTGATGGTCCTTAAGCCCTTGCCCAAGCCTTTATATGGACTGCAAATCTAGTCCACTTCCAAAAGCAAGGCTCCTACAGAAGAGCTTTCTCTTGAAACTCTGTGTGTTTTTTCATACTTGTTTTTGTTGGTCTGGAGAATCAGCAGCAGGGACAGCAAGATGACTTTGAGCCAAGGGGCGGTCTGTTCACACCCAAGGGACAGGGTTTTTCACCAAGTTAGCTGCTGTTTGAAATTATTGTTGCTGCACAGTCTTGCTCATACCACATTTTGTTATCCCTGAGATAATAAAGAAAGGCTTATTCTGTTGTGTCCAAAAGACCCTTTTCAAGAGACCTGCTCTTGCTGAAGTCTCCTGAGTCCCCATACCGGGTTACAGTCAGATGCTGGGTATTTCAAATTGAATTAGAACAAATGACAAAAATGAAAAGTAGTGTGGGAAGGAGGAAGGACAAGCCAGAAAAAATGTTATTTATTGAAAGTAGCCAGTCAGAAAAATGGAACCAAAAAACTCAACTGATATTGGCAGAGATGGATATTTGTCACATAATATTGGGTGAAATAAGTCACAAGTGAGGATTTGTAGGGATACCAGCTTTGGGTCAATTCTATCTAAAATATTCTGCAGCGGATTATTTTATGGCCAGGTTAAGAAGGAGAATGTTCTAAATCTAAACCTCAGTGTTTTGGCTCTTGGACTATATGATCTCCATTTGGTTAAGTGATGACATAGGCAAGATACAAGGTATAAACTTTATAAGGGGCTGAATCTTTGTCCTATTTCACCTTTTTTTTCTAGTCAGTCCTATCAAAGATGAAGGGTCATTTGAGCTCAAGATTCTTCCAGAGATGTGCTTAGAGTCACATGGGAATGTGGGTGAATGGGAGGGTAGGAGATGGACAAATTCTTCTCATATTTGGCCTCTAGACCAATTAGATCGTTTAAAATTGAATGGTGGGATTGCAGACCCAGATTACATGGGGTCCACTAAGAGTAATTGCAAACAGAATTCTGTATTTCTCCATAAAAATATCTTGCAATTAGCTAGCTCCACAATATCTCTGAGTCACTTCAACCTTCCTGATACCTCTCTACCTAGGTTATACCCTTATCATATTTGCCCAATACTATACTGTCACTTCTTTCAGTTGCACTAAATATTGTTGGATTCTAGAATAGTATTGAGATATTTGATAAGACGATCTAAATTCACCAACCAGATGCTGAAAGGACATTTGTATTTGATGTGCTTTTTCAATCCTATTAGCAAAAGTAATCTATTGTACAGTAAAATACACAGTCTTATTTCATTTCTCACTGTAAAGAAACAATGAGCACACAGAAATATAATTCATATTATATTGTCTGTCACTAAAAGTGGGTTCTTCAACAAACTGAAACACAATTTGAATAAAATCAGCTAATAATGCTAACTTCTCCTGTGCACAAACTAGCTGCATCAGATATTAAAGGCCACTATTAACTAGACAAAGAGAATCAAGAGAGCATAAGAGATGATTATAAGAGACATTCTTGCACATAACTCTAAAAATATAATTCAATCATGCAGCTATCCCCTAACATCAATCTTTATTTCACTATCTACTGCACAGGCATAAGTAAAAGTTTTAAGTCTCAAAAGAAGCTGGTGCTACTAGTGTTTCCTCAAAAATGTGGCAATCCCTTTATTTAAAAAAAAAGAAAAAAGCAATAAGCATTCAGGAATGATCAGTAAAACTGTCTCTTAAGGCCATTATTTTTAGCTGAGCATTGTTGTGACTGTTTCCATGGCTAACCCATGAACATGTTTTCTGCATAAGCCCAGTCAGCCAGTGGCCTTAATTAACTTTCAAATGGAGAATGCTGCGGTTTACCACTTATTAAATATCCACCACACCAAGTTACAGCTTTACCCTTCCACACCTCACTAAGTCAAGACACCTCAAGGAACCCACAATGCTGAATAACGGGCGATATTAAAATATGCATCATGTGTAATTATCAGACTGAACACACAGGCTGTGAAGGAAACTTACTAAAGCCAAGGCCACTTTCATTCCAGATGAAATAATATAACTTGTGAATTGAGGCAACAGGATTCAACCTTCAGAAGCAGTAGAATAAGCTGTCCTAATTCATTCACAGGAATTCAACAAATACTTATTAAATGCTTACTTTGCTTTTTGGATACTGAGTATTCTTCTAGATTACTTATGTCTAGGACTTTGTAGAAGATGAGTAAGTGAAATTCAAGATATGATATGGAAAACCATACAATATTTATGATTTTAAGCAATATACTCCCTAGAAAAAGGAAGAAAGTGTAAAATTACTCAGCAAGCTAATCTACTCTTAATACAACATACAAGTAGACTAACCAAGCTCATTTCACTGATTTTTTTATTCATGAGGGAGATGATGCAGTTTGAGATTCAAATGAGACAGAATTAGTTTGTGTGATTAGCTAGGTTGAGTGGTTAAGGTATAGTAATAATGATATCATTATTTCGTCTCTCATACAATATTCAGATACTACTCACACATGCACATACACACGCACTCACATATCTTATTTATATTTGGCTTGTGAATCTTCAACTAATGTGTTTACATCACCTTGTAGACTGGAGGGTGGGCAGAAAAAGCAAATTCACCTCTTCTTGAAATTCCACTGTGTATAAGATGGTCTTGGAATTTGAAGGAAGAAAAAAATTCTCCTATAAAGAGAAAATGTGAAAAGGCCAAGGGAGAGCATAACTGAAAATATATATAAAAATGCGAATTTTCCTAAACTTCAGCTTTGGATGGACTGAAGCATAAGTGAGAACTTCAACAAAGCAACAGAAAAAGATGACAGCTCAGAGTTTCAAAAATTTAAGACAGCAGCGGGATTAGACACTTTGGGTTGTCTTTGCACATATTTCTTATGGGAGTTAATTCCATTTGACATGCAAGACCAAAGCAAGATTACAGAGGCATAGCCCCATGGCGAGGTGTATGCTGTAGCTAAAAGCTGGGATTTGAATAATTGTGCAGGCTTACTCCAAGAATCAGGCAAGAACAGAATGAATGGATTATTACAAGGAACTTTGTACATTTTTAACTGCTGGACTTAATAAAATACCTTCTATGTGCGAATAGTGTTTTGGTCCCCTGCACTTACTGTAGCTGAAGTTTGCAGTGGGATCTATCAAAAATGAGGAAAAACAGAAGCTAGTTTTAAAAAAGAAAAAGAAAGGAATTTGTAAGGAATAACTAGGCTGAGTCGTGCCCACATGATTTACGGGGAACCAAAACATTTAGAGAATTTGAGATTAACATATTCAACCCCCCCTCCACATTACAGGGAATTCATTTCCTGTGTGCGTTGCAGAAAGTGGGCAGTAGGGTTCAGGGAGGGCAGGCCATAAAAATGTGGATTTCTATTTCACTATTTTAGCTTGTTAGGAAGGTCATTCATTTATTACTAAAAAATTACTAACCCACACACCATTTTATATATATATATATATATACACATATATATATGTATATGTATATATATATGTATATGTATATGTATATCTATATCTATATCTATAGATATAGATATATATATATATGTTATTCTTCTCTTCCCTTGGATTCTGTGGAAGCACTTGTCTGTAAAAGGCAGAAAGAGTAACAGTTCCAAAGACTTCTCACTGCTTAACTGTCCAGTGAGAATTATTAAAATTCTTTATATAATTCCTATTTCGCGCTCATTAAAGTGAAAGATACAAATGCTGGACAATGCAAGATTCAGAGAAGCTTTGAGAAAGAAGAGGTAGGCTTAGAATAGCTGAGAATTATGAAACGCTGCCCATTAACAGTAGCCAAATAGACCTTTCATTTTAAAAGTCAGTGATTCCGATCTGAAATGATTTGATTTGATTTTCTCCCTTAAAATAGCCTTCCTCTCCTTCCTTCCTGAGAGCTCATTTTTGATCCCTCCCAGCTTAGCAGGGAGAGTCAACCCCAGAAGAGGAGGAAACAGCTCTGGGGCCATGCCACTCGGGCATTGCGCCCTCTACTGGGAAGCCAGCTTGCAGTCCAGTTTGGGAAAATCCCTCCAAGAACGTGCCCCTAGGAAAGCAAAAAGAGGTGCCGAATTTCAGCACTGAAACCATCTTTCTCCTCGCTGCAGGTAAAGATTAGAGGAAGGACAAGTGAGGGTGCGAGTGCTTCATTAAACCAGAACTCAACTGCGGATTTCCTCGCCAAACAAGTCTGACAACTTCAGCTTGCCCTGTAAAAAGGCAACAGGAATGATGAACACATTACAAATTTGTAGACCCTAAAATTAAACTCCACCTCATTTATTTCATATTTCAGCAGGGCTGGGGATGCCTGACACAGAGGCACAGATCTTTCCTGATAAGCTCTGTGGCTTCCTTCTTGGAGAGGGAATCTATGATATGTGTGAATGCACTTCGTCTTCTAGAAGCCCAAATGTGGTTTAGCGTACTTAGGAAAGAGGAGGCATATGACAGTCCTCTGCAGAAGAAAATGAGGAATCATAGCCAGGGCAGGAAAGGAAATGTGTTACCACAGGAAAATGAAAAGCTAGTCTTATCCCCTAACTTCTCTGTTTCATTCAGATCCTTGCTACTAAAGATGGCTTTATAGGCCAGCTGCTTCAATGTCATCTGAGAGGTTATTAGGAAACCAGGTGCCACCCAGACCTCCTGAGCCATAATCTACACTTTAACAAGAGTCCCAGTTATCCATGAGATCCACCATTGTGGACATCTGAAAAGCTTAATCATGAGCAAAACTGGAATACTGAGCTTTACAAGTAGAAAGGAAACTAGTCACCACTTGCATCCTTGGATAAGGAAACCAAGGCCCAGAGAAGAATATAGCTCATCGCATATATAAGAAGGAAATTTTACATAGGCCTCAATTTGGTTTGCAATAAAAACCAATGGGGCTGTCAGAGCTTATTGCAGTTAGCTTTGTCACACACTATGAATCCAACAGAATGGGGCTCCAGCATTACAAGTATGGTAGGACATGATTCCCGTGTGGTGAGGCCCTGTCTTCGAGTCAGTTCTATAATACTGAAATGACTTGAAATTCTGCAGAAATTGACATAGAAATGAAATTCTGGTATTCCTTCAATCCACAGAATGATTGATGAAACACATGGAAAAAATAAATTGTTTTATAATAAATTGTTTTATAATCTCCCAGGGAAATATAATTACGTTGTGAAACATTTCCATGAAATCCTAACAGCTTTATATCATCTAGACAGTGACTTCTCCTATTTGATCAATAATTATATTAATTATGAACAATTATTTTGATAGGATGGTATGACTTTGGAGTGTCACTTATTCTTTATTTGATGTATTGATCCAAGAGTGAAGCTTTGGTACAAAGTCTCGGGGGAGAAGGACAAAAAGCCTTACGATATTTATGCCCACATACTAATTCATATTCTGGCCACCAACTTGATAGTCATTTACACAATGTGATGGGCAATACAACTTTTCCAAGACCACCAGAACAGTGATTTCATTTACTATCTTTAACTCTCTAAGAATATGAAGCAACTTGTCTTTGGATAACATAAAAAAAGACTGTCATAGTCACTTTCTCATGACTGAGAGGTAATACCTACATCCTGCAACTGAAAGGAGGAAAGCCGTATTTTGGCTCACAGTTTGTAGAGGTTTCAGTCTGTAGTCAACCAGCTTCAAGGCAGAGAGGTGTGGTAGAGGAAAAGCTGCTCACTTCATGGCATCCAGGAAGAAGCGCAAGCTTGAATGAAGGAGGTGGAGAGGGAGATAACAATTCCACATCACACCCCCAGTGATCTGCCTCTTCAGTCCATGCCCCATCTCCTAACAAGTCAGCAACAAGTCCCCATAATCCAGGAACCTTCCAAAAGCCCCACTTATGAACACATGAAGCTTTTGGGAGACATCAGATAGGAAGCATAACAGACACAAACCTGATATTCTTTGAACTTTTTAAATTCCAGGATATTTAATTTATCCTTTATGTGTACACTGAACTTTCAAACACACTTATGGCAACTTAGGCAGTGACCTAAAGGAAACTGACTTGAAATAAACAATGCTCAAAAGGTCTGTGTGACCAAACTTATACATTTACTACATTTTTTTTTTTTTGGCAAATACCTCATTACGATGAATATCCTTGGACTACATGTGTGGCAGGATACATCATAAGGACAGGCAAAAACTAAGACTTTATACTTGCTAGAGACAGTCTCGATGAGTATGTACCTTCTCATCTTCATAAAAGTATCAGTGAACTTCAATAGAAAAAAAAGAGTGAAGCAGAGATGTAAATTAAAAATAAGAATTCAAGGAGTCATAGAACAAGTATGCCAGATTTGAGATTTTTTTTTTAAAGGTGACAATCATTATATGTTAACTTCCCTAATTTTACCACATTATTTAAGATAATTTGTAAACATAGTGGGATAATAGAATTGAATAAATCACAATTAAGGTAATATAAATAAAATAATTTACAAATGCGTACTATTTAATCACAATTTCCTTAAAATATTTTTAAAATATATTGTTGATATAATGGTCTTTATGTAAGAGGTATAGATTTTCCCTGAATAAGGTAGAAAATTGTACATTTTATCATTAAGACTTGGGGGTCACTGGCTTGAAACCTAAGCCTGCCCCTTGTACTGTACATGACCTGAGCAAATTTCTTAACCTCTCTGTGTGTCTCAGTTTCTGCATCTGTAGCATGTAAATAATAATATATACCAAATGGAGTTGTCGTAAGGATTTAGTGAATTAACATGCATGAGGTGTACTAGGCACTCAATTTATAATGATTATTATTAGTATGGCTCTTATAATTTATATAGGTTGAGCTTATTAATGGCAATATTACAATTTATTAAACAATGGTATTCTATAAACTTTAAGAGGATCTAAAGGTCAAGTTTTAGTCTTCATTTTAAGAAAAGTATGTCTTCAAAGCATGTTGCTTTTTAAAAAAACAAAAGGAAGGAATTCATGGGGACTTGAAAACAAACTTACTCATGTTCTTTGACTCATATTTGTTTGGCAACACAGACAGACAGAGACACAAATACAAACACACACACACACATACACACACACATACACACACAGATGCACAGAATTTCCCTCACAGGGCATTTACCATAAAAGAAGCTAAATGTGACCCAGTACTCTAGAAGAGATTTTACCATTCAGAGCAGAATAACCTGAGAACAAAATGATTCAGAAAGCAGCCCGAGGTTCCTTTGTCTTTCCCAGGGTAAAATCAATTCAGTTATTATCCACAGTTGGGCACAGAATGGCATATGAACAGCATGGCTTCAGCCGGCAATCCCTCTCAGAGAGTGGGCTGTATGGGTAATATTCCACACCCTGATTTACTCTGCATTGTCAAGAGAGAAAGGGAAACAGTAATCTCTGGTAGGGAAATTCATTCTAAGGAACAATTAAGATACTAGAAAAGACATAAAGGAAGAAAAATCAGGCTAAACTCTTAAAAAAATATATCAAGTACTCTAGAACTGTCTGCATCATCAGGCAGAGTCCAAGGCAGTGGGCACTATTGCTAGGTCTAATATCTTCCTTTTTGCTCTTTTCTAGGGGTATTGTTCAGCCATATTTCCTATGTGTGAGAAGGAAATGAAGCACACACATGATGCTGCACATTGGAGTGAAACAGAAAAGCCTTTCTCAGGAAAGTAAGCAGGATTGTGAATGTGGCATTGTGGAACCCATAAAATACACCCACAATGAGTGAAAGCAACAAAATGACTCGGTCTTTCTTAAAGCTGCAACAATTAGGCAATTGAGCTAAAGAATAGGATCCAAGAAGATGTAAATAAGGTTTTTTTCTTTGTATTAACAAAGGGACTAAGGAGACATATTTCAGCTGAGATAAAAGAAGGTAAATGATTTCTCCCCAAAGGCAAAAAAGCCAAGATTTCTCAAATGAGCTTCTTCCTAAAAGAGATAGAAGTAAAATATATGAAGCAAGATGACATAATGTGCTGTTGCCTAAATGCAGGCAGTGATGGCGTCCTATTCTACAGACCAAGCTGTAAATAATCGAATGCAAGACAAAGCAAAAATATAGAAAAGGCCACTCAGAAACAGAAGCATAAAAATGCAGTGTGTGTATCAGTACTGAGAAGGGTACAGCTCAGTAGAACTGATTAATAAGGAGAGCAATGAACAGAACAGAGTGGATTTGCAGAGATTAGGATGTAGCAAGCTTTGTCCAGAAGATTGTATAAAGTTCTTATTGGCCTTGAATCTGAAATAAGGTGGAAAAAAAAAAAAAAACCTCCCATCATAAAAGAATCCTTGTGATCTCTTTTGGTATATATCTTAGTCAAGCAACTCATCTTTTCCCATGTGCCATTTAAAACATAAAAATTGCGGTAATAT